ACTCTCTCCCGTCGTCCCAGCTTACCCTTCCTCCCCACCCCCGCCATGTCCTCAAGTCCATTCTCTACGTCTGCATCTTTATTCCCTGTCCTGCCCCTAGGCTCTTCAACCTTTTTTTTTTTTTAGATTCCATATATACGTGTTAGCATACGGTATTTGTTTTTCTCTTTCTGACTTACTTCACTCTGTATGACAGACTCTAGGTCCATGCACCTCACTACAAATAACCCAATTTCATTTCTTTTTATGGCTGAGTAATATTCCATTGTATATATGTGCCACATCTTCTTTATCCATTCATCTGTCGATGGACACTTAGGTTGTAAGAAGCTTTATTTCTAACGGGAGCCACAAGACAGCTGAGTTAATATTAGAACGGACCAGGAAGAAGAGGGAAATAGGATAGGAATACTGGGAAAATCCCCTTTTTAATAATTAATCTGACATCCACTATCCTCCCCCCCCCACTTCCAATCCCCCTCATCTGCTCTGCTTTCTCATTTTCATAGCACTCGTTACCATCTGATATCCTACACAGCTACACAATGTACTTGCTTAATGTTTATTATGTATCGACTGTCTCTCTCTCTCTGCTAGAACACGAGCTCCACCGGGGCAGGGGTGCTTTTCTCTCTCATTTACTAATGAATCTCGAGTGCCTGGCACATAATATGTGTCGATCAAATCCTTGGTTCTCGTGTCTTCCTGCTCTGGGTCCCCCAAATCCCTGCCTTCCGGGTTTTCAGGAAGTTAGAAGGATCACATCATGCAATATCGCCCTTACAGCTCTGGCCCTGGAACCGTTGTGGTATTTTTCAACTCAGGGGTTCCGGCAGGTGGGAGAAGCAGCAGTGTGCATGGGTGTGTAACTTGAAAGTGCATGCCACTTAGTGGCATGTGTGTTAGCTTCATGCTTGCAACGATTCTCGGAGATTGGTATTTTTATTATCCCCATTTTATAGATGAAGAACCAGAAACTCCATCCATTCATTCAATCACTCATTCGTTCATTCACTCATTCCTTAAAAATCCCCAACGTTACTGAGTATCTACCCTGTACTAAGTACTGGTTATAGAGTTGAACCAGAGGCCCAGAGGGAACTCTGAGGACCTTGCCCAAGGTCACACAGTGAGTAAGCGGCAGGCAGGTATTCTGGTTCTCGGTGCAGCCTCTTCCCCTTGCACCACAGCTCTGCACACGTGCTGGGGGTCCCGGGCAGCGTCCCGGCAGAGCTGGCTGGGTGTGCATGGAGGCTGGATGTGGAGGCGGGCTCTGGGGCTAAGGTGTACAGCCAGAATCCCAGCGCTGGGCAGGACTTTGAAAGGTCCTTTCTATAGCCTCAAAGTGGGATGTTGCCTAAAATACCCTCATCGGTTACTGTCTATGACTCAGGCACCACATGAATTCGGGTTCCAGTGGGGGATTTTCCTAAAATAGCTGGTAGAGCAAGTTGGACTCCTTATTGCAGAAGTCGTTGCTTTCTGGGAGCTGGATGGTTCTTTACAGTAATAGGTCATCTTAGTTATCACCGCCTTTATTTTACAGGTGAGGACACTGGGACCCAGAGAGGCTGAGTAACAAGGTCACACAGCTGGTTAATGGCAGGACCATGACTGCTGCCTCCAAGCCTGTGGCTCTGCCCCTGACATCATGATTCCAGAGGTGTTCTGTGGGGTGGAAGGGCACCCGGTCCTTGCCTCGCTCAGCTTCACAGTATCTGCCCCTTCCCCTTTTTCCTCTCTGTCCCCTGGCTCCTTCCCTCTGTCTCCCTGAGGTAGCAAATGCTCAGCTCACAGTTGCTCCTTGCCTGATTGCATCTGAGAGCTGGGAACACAAGGCTAATTAATGTGTCTGTGACTCTCGGCTTGGCGGCCGGCCCGGGTCCCCATGCCCTCCCTGGAGCATGGCAGCCTCTGAGCGGGGCCCTCTGACTCCTCTAAGCAGGCTACCGGCAGTTGCATATTTTAACAGTGCACATCTGTTGGCTACATAATCTCTCGTATTTGCCCTTCTCACTTGGTGCTTTGATGGAAGACCCCTGGGGGTCTCCCTCTGTTCCAGCCAAAGTGTTTGCTTTGCAATTTTGCTGGAATGCCATCCGATTCTGCTCTTACAACTTCTGCAGGTTCTAATCAGGTTCTTACTTTATTTAATTAAACATCTATCTCAGGCCAAATACGGACTAAATTAAGAAAGCTCTCTCATTCCTGGAACATAGGGAAAGCAGCGCCCCCCTTGGGGATATGGCTGGGACATTTTTCCAGGCTGAGATGTCACGGCCAAGCAGATGGGATCTTGGCTGGGAAGCTGGCTGCCCAGGGTAGAAACAGCCCTCTCTCTGCTGGGACAGGAGAAGCCCTGTCTATCCACCACCATGAATAGACCAGGCTCCCTTTCCAGAAGGCTGGGTCAGCTTCTGCCTGTAGGGCCTCCCTCCAGGGCAGTAGGTGGGGCTGTATACCATGGAGAAACTCAGCTAGAGTCCTGCAGGGCCAGGCCAGGGCTGGGACCCACAGGACTACTCAGGGGTAGGGACTTAGGGTAGCCTTGAGGAGTCAGGGGGGTATGTAGCAGAGCCTGGGGAAGCTTGAGGAGTGGTTTTTGTGGAGACCTTACGAAAGGCTGATGGACAAATGCCAGCTCAGTCTCCCTTTCTGGCCTCAGGAATTCTACCCAGGCCATCCTGCTAGGGTCTCCTGGAAACTCTGCCTCCCCCCTCTTCAACTGATCTCCAGACTTGTGAAACATTTCCCACCCCAAACCGCCGGAAGCCAGTGCCAGCTCAGGCCTCTGGAGAGGGAGACGGGGGAGTGAATGCCTTTTAGATGTGACCCAAGACAAAATTAAGTCTGTTCAGATCAGAACCAGAGGCCCTGCTCTCAGAAGCCTGGCTCTTAACCAGCCAGACAAAGGCAATCCTCAGGGCATTTAGGGATGTGGAGACCGGGCAGAGAGCACCCTTTGCTTCTCTGAGCCTCAGACCATCATTTGGGGCCGCAATCCCCATCCCACAGGCTGGCATCGGAACAGGCGAGGTAACATAAGTGGTTTGGAGTTGGAAAATCTGGGGTCTATTTTGAGGGCTAATTAAGCTGTGTGACCTCCCATGAGAGCCTTTGCCTCTCTGAGCCTCAACTTCCTTATCTGTAAAACATTTGGGATAATGTGGACTTTGTCACCTAACTGAGATAGTAGAGAGGAAAGGAGGCTGTGACTGGCTGGGTATGACCAGGTTGAAGCTCTGATACCAGGATGTGAACTTAAGAACCAGAGGAGTCTCCATCTGTTTTCCGTCCTGCGTGAAGTCAGGAGTGGGCACTGCTCAGGTTCCTCTCATTTTAGCATCTCTGGGACCCTCTAGAAGGGGTACAAGGGAAGGGGTGGTGCTAAATAACCTCTGGAGATGAAGATCCTACAATTCCACTTAGCAAATCTGTATGGCCTTTTGCAATACTTAAAGATCAGAAAATATATTAGGCACTAAATCCTCCTCTGTCCTCCCTCAATCCCCACAGCGATTACAGACCGGGTCCCATTTTAGCCACATATCAGGAGAGATGAAGGTGGCAGCCTCTCCCTCTAACACAGGAGGCCCACTTCCTGGTCCATCCCAACTTGCTGACCCTCCAGAGCCGGTTTATTTTTCTCATTCCTTCCATCGCAGGTGGGGGGAAACTGAGAGGTGGGAGGGGGTTTCTGAGGTTGGCTCCCAGTTCCTCCTTCCCGTCTCAAGAAGCCAAGCTCTGAGCTGGGTAAGTGGTCCTCCAGGGTCAGTCTGCTGCTGTGCTTGAGACAGTCTACCCCGTGTGCTGGCCGTGTAGATCTGAAGATAACCTGACACCCTCGTAAATATTTCGTCTCTGAGCAGCCGGCGGCAAGGAGGCAGCACCCCAGCTGCCGACCCTGTTGTCAAACTTCACAACAGCTGCAGGAGGCGGGGGTGGGAGGGACTTCCCTCTTCTGGCTGCCTGTGTGCCATCCCCCATGCGTGTCCTTTGCTTCTCTGAGCCTCAGACCCTCCCCCGGGGGCCACAGTCCCCGTCCCGCAGGCCGGCGTCGGAACAGGCGCGGTAACATAAGTGGAGGTGCTGAGAGGTCTGCTGTGCAGCGCTATGCAAACGTGAGCTATTATTACTTATGTGCCGGCGTGGTTCCCAGAGGGCCTGCCTCCTGGCTAACATCTGGCCGGAGGAGGCAGTTGACAGGGGCTGAACTCTAAACTGGGACGACGCAGCTGGAGAGGTAGATGAGCCCGTCCCCTGGTCTCAGGCAGGTGTGCCCGAGTCAAGGAGTGGGGACCTCTTCAGGAGGATGTCCCAGGGATGCTGGGCTCCTGGGAAGCCAAGGTGGAGAACGACCAAGGGGTAAAGGTGTGATTTAGCATAAGAACCTGAAATGACCTTTCCTGGGGATGATGTAGGCAGCCCGGTCCTCCACCGGAGAGCCAGGATTCCCAGGGAGCAGCAAAGGTGGGAAGGAGCAGGGTCGGGGTGGTCCCCATGGATGCTGAAATCATGCAGAGAACTGAGCTCCATGCTGAGTCTGACAGGGGAGGGTTTTAGATGGGGCTTTGTCAGCACCAGGGGAGGGCAATTCAGAAAGAAGGGACTCGAGGATGTGTCCCCTTCTTCTCTGGATCTCCGTCACCGAGCACAGGACCTCACATGGATCACGTGTGCAGAACATGCTTCCTGATTCAATAAATAAGCACCCAGGAGCCCTTTTTAACTCCCTAAGTGGCAGTCAAACACGCTGGGGTTGGGCAAAGTCAGAGGTCAGCTGGTGCTGGCCTTCTGATGTCCAGGGCAGGAACTTTCATTTTCCCCCTTTGGGTGGGGAGGGACTGACACAGTGGAGCAGCAGTGGTCAGAGCCCTGTAGGACAATGCTGGGGGGCTTTGTCCAGTGGGGAGGCCCCTCCAGTCTGGCCCCTGGCTTGTGGAGCTGAGCCCAGGGTGCTTCCCATAGCATCCTCAGCCCAGTGTACGGACGGTTCTTACCTAGGACGGTGAGGCGTGCGGGGCGGGACCGGATGGCGGCCTGGATGGCCTGGCACTCGTACACAGCATCGTCTTGCAGCTCTGCCCGCAGGATCTTCAGGTGATGTTCCCCTGACAGGTGGTTCCCTACCACCAGGTACTGTGGGTAACCTGTGGAGACGGCAGACATATCAGCATATCAGGAGGGCTGGGGCGGGGGTGGAGAGCTGGGCATGACAGACAGGCACAGCGGGGGATGGGGGGGACACCCGAGCCGGGGCTGGTCCTAGGGCCTGGCAGAGTAGGAGGTGACTGCATAGGGCCCTGACCTCAGTATAAGGAGCACAAAAGAGAGTTTCCCCAGGGGGCTGGGGCAGCGTGTGTGTGTGTGTGTGTGTGTGTGTGTGTGTGTGTGTACAAGGATACTGTAGGTTTTAAGCTTAGGAATGTTGGGGAAGCTATTATTGAGTGGGAAGGAGACAGCAGAGATAGGGGTGCTAAATGTGGACAGACACAGCGGGCTGTCACCCTGGAAAGCAGCGCACTGGGCACTGTGGTTTGCAAAGCAGACATGCATCCTCCTAATAAGGAGACACACAGAGAGACAGAGAGACCCAGGCTGAGATGTACAAACCGAGAAGACAGAGTCAGAAGGAGAGAGAAGAAGGAAAAAAAAACTTGGAAAAGGATCAGGAGTCACTTTGGGGAAAACTTTAGTTTCAGGATGGACAGGAAGTAGAAACCGAGGCCCACACACCAGTTCCCAGGAACCTCTGGTCACTTGGAACTGTAAGTGGCTCTTTTCTGGTCATTCCTACTACGACCCCCTGAACCCCAGGGCCTGATTAAACACTTAGGAGGCACTCAGGATACTTAAAAATTTGGGGCCTCTTACACCATGGGCAATGAATAACAGATAAATAAAAGCTTGAGAATGATAAATCATTAAGCAGCTTTCCTGACGCTCTGCGGGTTGAATATAAATGCCAACATGAGTCGTGGCTGCCGGGACGGGCAGAGCCTCTCTCTCTCGGGTCTTGGACCCTCGACCTCCTTAGTTTCTCCCAGCAGGACCTGTTTTCCATCAGTCCTCTTCCCAGAGCTCTGCTTTCCCCCCACCAGTGCCTTACAGGGTCCTTCCTCCCCTCAGAGGCCCATCCAGCCTCCAGCAGCCCCAAACTGCTCCTCTTTCTGAAGGGCTTTCGCTAGGGCAGAGTGAGTTCTCAGAAACGTGCCATAGGAGGAGGGAATTGGGCACATTCGGCCTTTTTTTTTTTTTTTTGCGTTACGCGGGCCTCTCACTGTTGTGGCCTCTCCCGTTGCGGAGCATAGTCTCTGGACACGCAGGCTCAGCAGCCATGATTCACAGGCCCAGCCGCTCCACAGCATGTGGGATCCTCCCGGACCGGGGCACGAACCCGTGTCCCCTGCACTGGCAGGCGGACTCTCAACCAGTGCGCCACCAGGGAAGCCCACATTTGGCCTTTTAAAGAGAAGACTAGTGCTTAAGAGACAGAAGCAGAGACAGAGGGACGTGCCATAGCTCTCTTCAAATATTTCCAAGTCTCTTAGTGGGGGTTAGATGTGTTCATGTAGCCCCCAAGGACGGCATTAGGACCAAGGGTCAGAATGAACATGGGGAAATACTTTAGAATATTGTTAACAATTTACTGGTGTCCAACAAAGATCTGGGCTGCCAGAGGTGGTAGTGAGGTCCCCGTCACTGGCTGTATGCAAGCATACATGGGATGATTGCCTGTCAGGAATACTGCAGAGGAGAGTTCTACCCTGGATGAAGTGTTGGTGCTCTTAGGCCCCTTTTACCCCCCATAACCTAAGGGTCTTCCAGAGGTGGGGCAGGGCTCCCTGGGGGTTGGCTGTTAAGCAGCACCCATTTCTGGTCAGTGGAGGTGGCTGTGATCCTCCACCAGGCTCCCCAGTATGCTTTTGAGGCGCATCCTGTGCTAGCATTGTCCCCATCATGCCATCAAGCGGTCCTGCCCTCCACAGCTGTTCAGGCCTGGCTGGAGATGCTACAAGGCCAGCAGCTGTACCCCCAAGAGCCCGGCCGCCCCCCTGCCTGCCCTGCCTGCCCTCTGCTGGGCTTTGGGAAGGAGCCCGGGTAAGTTAAGCTGGCTCTTCCTGGGGCCGGGTGAGGGGCTGGAAGTGGGTCCTCCTAGTCCAGCTCTCAGCGTGCTGCGGCTGTCCTCAACGTAGCTGGCTCACTGCCTCAGGCCCTCCAGCCCAGCCTCTGGATCCCACTGTCCTGTGATTAGCCCCTGGTCTCCTGCAGGCGTCTTGGCCGGAGCTTGTGTTTTTGTTGACTTGCAAGCCGTCAACAGCAGGCTTCCGCTCTCATAAGCTGCTGAAAACATCAGTGATGGGTTGGTTTGTATTTGCATAATTAGGCAGCGAGCCGTGATGCTATCCCAAAGACTGGCAGTATCTTCGCAAAGCACAGGCCCAGAAGCACAGATTCTGAGGAAGTTCTAGCTCCTTCCACAGCATCAATACTCTCTCTTGCTACTCCCAGGGGAGGCAAAGTTATTGGAAGTCTGGGTTCTACAGACAAATTGCCTGGGTTCCAATGTCAGCTCTATCACTGCCTAGCTCTGTTGTCTTGGGTAAGTTACTTTAACTCCTTTGCCTTTCCATTTCCTTGTCAGTAAAGTGGGGGCAGTGCTAGTACCTCACAGAGTTATGGTGAAGATCAGATAGGATAATCTATGTAAAGTACCTGGCATTCAGTAAGTAGTCTATAAATGCTAGTTTAAATGAACATAACAATGACATAGGGTAGCCAGAGAGGTCCCTGTTTTGAGGAGGGTCTAAGGGCTTTTGGGGTTAGGAGCCAGGGTCCCATGCATTGGGATTGGGTATTTGTTTGAATCAATTTCTTTCTCAGCTGTGATTTTATTTACCTGCCAAATAAAGGGGAAAAGCCTTCTTTTTCTACCCGTGGATGATTGTAGATTTATGAGATAATGTCTGAGAAATATTTGAGCTTCTTAGAAGAAAAATGTTCCATCAGTATGAGGGAGTGTATTTATAAATCACTTCTGTCGACTGTTTTTTCCAGCTTTGGTGACCAGAAAGGTAGTAAGGTCTTCAGTTAAGGCATCATTTCTGGTAGGCTGGATGGGGCTACACATTTAAAATAGAAGCGGGCAGAGCTGTGGCAGGCTGAAACCCCATAACACGGGCCCCAGCTCCCCCACAGTGTTAGGTGCTCGGCAAATACTTCCTGAACTGAATTGAGATCTATTACACTCACTTTCTTATCAGGCAAGCAAACAGTGTTTATTGAGCATACATTTGTCATTATTGTCATGATGCTATTTTGGGACAAGTGATCAAATACAGAGAAAACACGTTACCAAGAGTTTGAGTTTATTGGCTCTGCAAGGAGAGGGCTGACCTTCTTTCTGTCAATGGAGTCAAGTTGGAGAGGAAACGGATCCCAGTTCATCAGATCCCATTGCCCTCCAGCACTTAGCAGGACCCAATGCTGGATCCCGGAAAGCCATTCATGGAAGTGGATGCCAGAGGGTCAGTTATCCATGCAGCGATGACCCCTCTATGAACCATCCATGGTGACCTGGGACTTCCTCTTCACCGACCCAACAAGACCCCAGTCCCTGATGGAAGCTGAAAGCCACTGACCGGGAACCCAGAGAGCTTCCTTAACCAGCAGCAGTGCTGGGCCAGCTCAGAGCCTCGTGGAGCGTGAAGGACTCGGTTTGGGAAGATCGTATTATTCCCCCAGTTCCTCTGCGGTAAGGGGGTTCAGAGTCCCTGAAATTGGCTGGTTCCCACAGTACTTAGATTTTAGAGGAGCATGGTATGTTTCGGAGATGTGATCGTGTATTTTACCCATGCTCAGCTGGGCTGCAGCACTCAAACCCTGTGATACTATTGACCATTGCTATAATGTTTCAATACACATTTTTGGCAAGACATAACTCACATTTTAAAGTATTAGCTTCCCAACCATCATGTTCCTGAGTGCACCTCGATTTTTATTTTCCTGCAGCTGAACACCATGAGAGAGGCCAAGCTGCTTCTCAGTTGAACACATATTCTTCTCTCCTTCTCCACCCCCAGACACTCCCCAACCACAGGGATACCCACATTCCTCATTCTGCATTTTACAGTTTATGCTGAGTTAGCAAACAGCCACGCGCCTTGGCTGATGGGCAAGTGACCAGGAGGATGATTTCATTCTTTTTTCTCCCAGAGGAGAGGATGGATTGGAAAAACGTCTGTGTGGGCTTAAGGGTTGACATTTACAATAGTTAACAGGTGATGGGGCGTGGGCACCAAACAGACAGCACAGATGTCAGCCATCAACAACCATGGGAGCCCACCAGCGCATCTTTGCTGAATATCAGCCTGGGTGGTGGGCTGAACGAGGCTTGGAATTTATTTTAAACACTGGTTTTCTTTTCTCCCCATCACATGGTGACCCCTAAACCCAATCAGGTTTCTTCGCGTTTTCAATCTACTTGGCTCCCTTTAATGGCTGGAAGGAGGCAAGAACAGCACTTAACTTGTGACTTAAGTGGGGAACACATGTCGGACCAGGAGAAGGAACACTTACTTCTGGAAAGCTGACTTTATGTGAGTCATGTTTGACTTTGGAACGGACCCTCCAGGGCAACACTGTGTTAGTTTAGGACGGACCGCCCGAATTGAGGGTTTACTCATAATTCATCACCAGGAGTCAGAGGGGCCCTCAAAGTCCCATGCATCCTGGACCCAGGGCCTGCCTCGCCTGCCTCTGCCCGTGGAATCTGCAATGAAAGCTGAGATTTAATCCCCAAATGCCTCTGAAGATGGGGTTCCCTAGGAGGGGGTGGGTGGGTGGGTAGGGCAGGGGCGGGTTCTAGGCCTTCCTGGGGAGGTCTGGGGATACTCACTTGAGAGGTCCCTGCCCACGCCCAGAGCCAAGCCGTCTTTGATCCACAGAACGAAGCCATCGTATTCAGGGATGGCGCACAGCAGTGTCACCGGCTGCCCCGATACCACAGCCTGGTCCTGGGGCTGCTGGCTGAAGGAGTACACTTGACCTAGGAAGGAAACAAATGCAACGGTCAGTTACTTGCCGGAAGGGCTTCCCCTCGAGCAATGGAAGCAGAGCCCAGGCTGCCCTGGGGGACAAGGACCCCCAGAGCACCTCCCTACCTGCCTGGGGCCCAGCTGCTGCTTCTTCACTGCCCCCAGCTCCACCCCTGCTTGCAGGAGCTGGCCCCGGCTGCAGGCTCCCTGCCCATCAATCCCCAGCGCACTCATGCTGTGGTCCAGCCATCCTCCAGCCCCCAAAACGGGCCATGTACTACTGCACTTGGCACGTGTTACTCCTCTTTCCCCTTAACGCCGCTTCCTGGTGCCTACTTCCACAAGGGGGCAGAGGCAGGAGAGAGACCCCCAGTTGGAAGCACTCCGGGGGGGCGGGGTGTGCTTCAAGAGGGCAACAGGCATAGGGCGTGGTGTGCTTTGGTTAAACCTGAGAATCCAAGAAATATCAATAATATCATAGTTTTAGTGGCTCCCAGGATGGGACTAGGGCCAAACTTGGCGGGGTGAGGGGTGGTGTAGTGTGAGGGATGGTGGGGTTGAGTGAGCAGGTAATCGTCTCCTGTCCCTTTCTTTTCTGCAGCAGACCCTGCGCCAGCCTCTCTGTCACTGGGAGCAAATCATCAGTGTGAACCCACACCTGCCCATACACACCTCCCTGAACCATCTAAGGTAGGCAGTTCATATTTTATTAAACAGAGACACCCACATTGGGTACAATATGCCAGGCATTGTTCCAAGATTTACAAAGATTAGCCTGTTAATATTTTCATCCTCATAACCACCTATGAGGCAGGTACTATTTTTATCCCCATTTTTCAGATGAGGAAATAAGGCCCAAGGAGGTAAAAAATTAGTAACAGGAGCTGCTCCTGTTAATGACTCACCACGTGCCCTGTGGGCCTTCTCTGTGGCCATCACATCCCCACAACACTTGTGTGGAGCCTTATTAACCCCTTTTCACAGGCACTCAGCACACTGAGCCTTAGAGGTTAACTAAATTGTCCAGGGAGCATCTAGTGGCAGGACCAGGGCAGCGAATCCAAGACTCTCTGGCTCTAAGGACCATGTTCTCATCTACTGCATTCAGGTCCCTATGTCTCATCCTGGAGGGATTGCTGAAGAAGGGGGGTGATGTGACCCACGTTCCCTGGGAGGCCACAGCTGAATGGACAACAGGACATGGGACATTGACATCCACTGAGCTCCCGGCCCACAGTACCATCTGTGCTTCCCATGCTGTCCCTCCTGTAACCGTGTAATTACACTTCAGAGCAGGACTATTCCCATTTTATACCAAAGACACCCAGATCAGAGAGGCAAAGTAACCTGCCCAAGGTCACACAGCTAATGAGTGGGGTCTGACCTGGGGCTCATGACGTCTAAGCCTGTATTCTTTCCTACCGCCTGCTCTGCAGATACACAGCCGAGGAAAACAGGACCTGGTGGGCAGGCTGCCCCTCCACCTGGAGAGAGTCAGAGGTGGCCACAGAGGTCCTGGACACCGGCTGCTGTCCAACTTGGGGACACAGAGCCCCAGGCTTTGACCATGGTTAGGGCCAAGCTCTCAGCAGCAGATGGCCCTAAGAAGGGAGCCACTGGTGTGTGGCTCCAAGGGGCACTGAGGATGGCAGTGGAGGAGAGACAGAGGTCCACACTGGAGAGTTTGTGGCAGGCGGGAAGGTAGCTGAGTTTTCAACCTGATGAGATCTTGGCTGGGTCTCTGAGGCATCTCATTAAAAATCAGATTGGCCCTGAATTGTGAGAGTAACACTTTTTATTCTGATCTGAGCTTTATAAATTAGATTTCATAGGACATTATCGTCAGCTGTGTGTGGTGGGGTGGGATTTTTTTTTTCTTCCTTTCTGTCTCTTCAAGTTCCCTGTTGTAATTAGACTGTTTCTGGCACCAAAACAAGAGAGAGAAGGAGGGAAGAGATGAGAGGAGAAAGGGAGGGAGAGACCAGAGAAGGAGCGAGAGAGGGAGGGGAGTGAGGAGAGCAGGAGAGCAGGAGTGGAGAGGAAGAGAGAGATGGAGAGAAGGCAGAGGGAGAACAGGAGGAGAAAGAGGGGCGGGAGACGCTGGGATGCAGAGAGGATGAGTGAGCGGGAGACCGGTCCTCTCCCAGCCTCCTTCTCCAGGCTCTAATGATGATTTCACAGCGCATTCTTCTATCTCAGCATCTTCCTTGCAAGGACAGTGTCAAGACAGCAGCAATAGCTACCAAAGATTGTGTGATCAGAGAGAAGTATCAGGTTGTCAGCTGAGAGCCGGGGGCTTGGGATAAGCTGGCTCTCAGCAGTAGAGCCTGAGCCCCCAGAATGCCCATGAATAGGGAGGCCTGCCGTGGGAACTGACCTGGTCTCCCCCCGCCTCCAACCCAGTCCTGCTTCCTCTTGGTGTTGGTGAGAGTGCCTGGAGAGCTGGAGTGCAGGAAGCATCCCCAGGCCAAGGTGTGGGCAGGGGCGAGGGTGAGAAGCCCAAGGGTGACAGGTGTGGCAGTGCCCCAGGGAGAAGAGGGGCTGTCACCATGGAAACCGGGCTCTGGAGGGGCTGGGAGGAGAGGTTGTCAGAAGCAGGCGTGCAGGTGGACACTAAGCGGTCACTATTTCACCTTGGAGGCTGCCTCAGAGCCAGGAGTTGGGGTGGGGGCCGATGGAAGGGAGCCTGGGGGGCAGGGAGGTAGGAGCCGGCCTCGAGGGGACTAGTCTCCCGACCCATCCTAGCAGGCTTCAGAGAGACTTTTCGGCTTTCACATTTTGCTCGTTTGCATCCCCTTGGCTTTCCTATGGAAAGAATGTTTCTGGAGGGATACAGGTTCACTGGATAGTCTCATAAAGCTGCCCCAGAGGACATGGTTGGCAAATTATGTGGGGGGTGGGCGTAGTTAGTGCTCTGACGATTTTTTTTTTTTTTTTGGCCGCACCTGGCGGCATGCGGAATCTTAGCTCCCTGACAGGGATTGATCCTATACCCCCTGCAGTGGAAGCATGGAGTCCTAACCACTGGACCGCCAGGGAAGTCCCCAGCATACTTTTAACTTTTGTGCATTAAATACAAGCCACTAAACACTTTTCTCTTTCGAGTCAATGAGATGCTTTCTCAAGCAGAGCCTACGTCAGGTGTCACTTCTAGAGGAGATGAAGGCTGCAGTGCAAGAGGATGGAGAGGAGGTGGAGGGATGGACCAGTGGGACAGGCCCTGAGGCCTCCTCTTTGGGCTCAGGAGCCCTTGGGGATGCGGCGTACAAGCAAGGGGGCAGGCTCTTGTCCAGAGAATCTCCTCACCGGTTCCCTCACTTCCTGCTCAGAGAGGTGAAAGGCAAATTATCATTTTCTATAACCTCCTGGGCAGTATCTTGCGTAGATTCTCTCCAAACCTGTCCTGCTGCCGGCTGCTCCCTGCCCGCTGCTTTCTGCTCAGCACCTCTCTCTGACTTCCCTAGACTGTTCTCCAAAGCGCCCCACCCCCCGCTCTCTGCCTCGCCTTCTTCAGCCCACCAGGCTCTCCGAAGGGGCCGCCCCTGACCGCCCAGCCCCTCGCCTCAGTCTTTTTCTGGGGACCCGCAGCACACCTTGGCATGGAGTGAACCGTCACCATCGGGCTCGGGGAGGTCCCCACCGTCTTCCAGGAAAACATTTAAAACGCTGAAGACCCCGTGAGGCTCTATGAGCTCACACACCCATGGCCTCCGATCTGAGGTCCCCCCGCAATTCCCAGTTACTTCCTGGGGAGGGAAGAGGCACTTTGCTGGCTGAGGTTATAAGGGCCAGATTACCCTGAGTGATGCCTTTACAGCCGCGCTCCAGGGGCCTGGCTGCCATGGTGTATGCACGTGTGTGTGTGTGTGTGTGTGTGTGTGTGTGTATGTGTGTGTGTGTCTGTGGGGCTGAATGAATTGACTTGTAGGCCTCACTCCTTCTCCAGCCAGACCTTTTCTGCTTCTGTTCCTTGTCAACCACTTAAAATTTTGCTTGAACAAACTCTTCTTATTCTTTCAGAATCTTTGAAAGCCTCTGGTTTAGAATTCTGTGGCGGGGCGTGGTGGAATTTTTTCTGGGACTAAAATGTAGGCTGAGAAGGCCAAGGCCTCCCTCTGCTGTCAGGGTCACTGTAGAGACCCCTGGAAGGGACTGTGGTCTGGACAATCTTTAAGGCTTTAAGGTTCCAGGAGCTCATGGTGCTGCGGCCTGACTCTGGCTGTGCCTGTGTGTGTGTGTGTGTGTGTGTGTAGAACAGGCAGAAAGAGGGCCCAGTGAGCCACACCCAAGGTGGCCGGGGTCCTCCCTGCCAGGTTCAGAGGGACCATGGCGCTCACCCATCCCTTCCTCCGATAATTGTCAACCCCAGATCTTCTGGGGACACATTCTGGTACTTCAGTGTCGTAAGTCTGTTGCCACACCTACTGGTATATGAGTCTGTGCCTCTCCCCAGTCACTGATCTGGTGGTCAGGTGGTCCCATGCTGGTATGAGAGGCAGCTCTCTGTGGGGTCCGCATGCACTAGCGCAGAGAGCAAGGGGTGTGGGGTTAGTTAGTGTAACAGGAGAGACAGCCTCGGGGCAAACTCTGCACTGAAGCCTGATGCGGGGAGGAGGGGTGCTGATGTCCTCATATCCCCTGCACCCCCCTCGGGAGATGGTGTGGAGTGTGCTCACCCTCTTCCTCCCGTCTCTCTGGGCACTTTGGCCAGGCCTTTGCTCCAGTAGCAGGTGGAGGGGAGGTGACCACTGCCCTCAGCGTTAATCCCAGCCAGACCTGGACAGGAATGTCAGGGCCACCTGGTAAGCTTGCCTGGCTTCTATGGAGCCCAGTGCACAGCCACCCTCACTTGCTCCTTCAGCGGGGAGGGAACGGCAAGGAGGGAGAGGCTGAGTGATGCCCCGAGGATGCCCTGGGGTCCAGGAGAAGGTGGAGTGAGGACTCCTCTGATGCCCTGGGGGGCGTCACTGCCACCCCTGTTCCTGAATGCGGGGGCAGCCCGGCTGAAGTCCTGCTTGCTGCAACTCCCAGGACATTCAGCGAAACTTACTGAGAGTCTGTGCACGGCTTCACTTGACCCAAGTTGCTAGACCGTGAGGGAGAAGGTGGTGGGTCTCCTAAAGGGGTCACGTAAAGTTCTTTGGGGCTTTAAGAAAGGCCTGCTGCAAGCGTAGGGGTGGGGAGAAGAAACAGAGGGGCTTCCTGGAGGAGGAATCAGGGTACGGGGATGTGATGGAAGAAAAATGTCCTTCTGTGGCAGGGAAACTACAAGCAAAGGTATGAGTGACGGGTAACCTCAGGGACCCACTCTGAGTGCCTAACGGGTCACCTGCCAGGGTCTGGGTCCTGGACAGTGGAAAAAACACAGAACCAGGCGGGCCTGGGAAGGAACTCCAGCCCTGTCACTAGCAGTATGATGTGGGGCACATTCCTCACCCACTCTAAGCCTTAGTTTCCCCATTTGTAAAATGGGGGTGACACACCTACTTTGCAAAGCTGCCGTGAGGCTGAGGGGCCACATGTGTAAATGATCTGGGCACACACAAGGTGTTTCATAAAGGTTTGTTCTAATTTTCATCACTATTCGTGAGTCTTTCCTGAGCCCAGGACTATTAAAACCGGAGCCACGAGGGGTCCCAGGGATGGGAAAGGAGGCTTTGCAAATCTGAAGTTGGACCGATTAGAATCTGCTTCTTCCCATGAGTCATGCAGGTGAGAGAGGCGAGCATCTGAGCCTCCTGCAGCCCTGCCTTTACTGGTTTCAGCCTCCCAGAGCTACGTGGTCAACCATGCAGAAAAGGCGCAAATGTCACCGTCTGTTCTGCTATTAGTGACCAATTGGGGAAAGCTTAAGAATACTTGTACCGGGGATTATTTGTTGCCAGGTTTTTCCCAGCCCGGAGCACGCAAATTGCCTCTTATGAGATTAAGGGAAGCTGCACAGGGTCCAAGAAGCGAACAGATGGGTGGAAGGGAGGGGAGGCAGGAGCCAGCCCAGCGCTCAGCTGACACCAGCAGTGCCAGGCGGGTGGGAAAGGACCAGGGCAGGTGGCTCAGACCGTGCCTGGAGGCCCAAGTCTTGACTTCTGCTGCTATCCTGTGGCCCAGCACAGGCAGGACGATGAGTTTTGGGGAATTTCTGGAATGCCCTGTTGTGACCTACTCAGGGGAGCGGGATTGGGGGTTATGGGGTTATGTCCTAGCCCCCTGACTAATAATAAAACTGATCATTATGGGGTGTAATGGTACCAGTGTTGTGCCATTGGCCACACACAGGGGCAGGTCCCACCCCATCAATCTCCAAGAGCCCTGGCCAGGTGTGGGGATGCAGAGGAGGGACTGATGTATTTTGCACGACAAGGAGCTTAGTGTCTGGAGGCGACAAATATGTGCACAGGGAACTAAAATAAAAGGTGCCGCAAGTGAGGTATAAAGTCCTAAGAATATCACAAACCAGAAACGGACTCACAGATACAGAGAACAAATTATTGGTTACCAGTAGGGAGAGCAAAGGGGGGAGGGGCAAGAGAGGGGTAGGGGATTAAGAGGTGCGAACTACTGTGGATAAGGTAAATAAGCTGCAAGGATGTATTCTACAACACAGAGCATAGAGTCAATACTCTTTAATAATTATAAATGGAGTATAACCTTTAAAAATTGTGACTCACTAGGGCTTCCCTGGTGGTACAGTGGTTAAGAATCTGCCTGCCAAGGCAGGGGACATGGGTTCGAGCCCTGGTCCAGGAAGATCCCACATGCCTCGGAGCATCTAAGCCCCACGCGCCACAACTACTGAGCCTGCGCTCTAGGGCCTGCGAGCCACACTACTGAGCCCATGTGCTAAAACTACTGAGACCTGCACGCCTAGAGTCCATGCTTCGCAATAAGAGAAGCCACTGCAATAAGCCCACGCAACGGAATGAAGAGCAGCCCCCACTCGCCGCAACTAGAGAGAGCCTGTGCACAGCAACGAAGAC